CACAAATATCATCATATTATTTGTCCATTCAGAAAAGTCTGTCTACATACTTCTTCCTCAAATTGTCTGTTACCATTTTATCACTCAGATTCCATCCAAGCCCCTGACCATCTCACCAAACCAGTGGCTTCAGTCCTTGAGTAAGTATATAACTGCACATTTAGCTAATTCTCCTTCCAATCAAAGTGCACAAACAGGTGTGTGGCCTGAAGTTCCATTCACTGGGAGGATTTCCTTTCATCACTGCCCTTCAGATATGTTGCAGTGAGGGACTATAGTATTAACAGCTTTCCATTTTTGTGTGGTACCCGCATATTATACAAATCCATTATAAACCAGACACGGGTCTTCTCTTCCGTTAACTGACTGCAGGGAAGTTTCCATGAAGCTATAGGTACAACTGGAGGGGGAAAACAATATAGCAGTGTAGCAGGAATGGGGACCATGGACATTTGAGCCACTTCATGTAACTTTATAACTTACTTGTATCTTCAGGACCTTCTCACATCTGAATTTATTTATATATATAATATATATATGTAACATATATATAAAACTTCCATTTGATGATGGACTGCTTCTGTGCATGCTCAATGTTATGGCTTGGTGGGTTGGATAAAACCAACTTTATGTGGCTGGCGTTGTGGCGTAGCCGGTAAAGCCGCTGCCTGAAGTGCTGGCATCCCATATGGGTGCCGGTTTGAATCCCAGCTGCTCCACTTCTGATCCAGCTGTCTGGAATGGGCCAGTGTGGTATCTTGACAGAGGTAAAGGTAATCAAGATTTCTGTGAATGTGGGCCAGCATTGTGGCACAGTAGATTAAGCCACAACTTGCAACACTGGCATAACATACCAGAGAGCCGGTTTAAATCCCAGCTGCTCTCCTTCAATCCAACTTCCTGATAGTGTACCTAAGAAGGCTGTGGATGATGGCTCAAGTACTTGGGATGCAGTCACCCATGTAGGAGACCAGGATGGAGTTCCTGGCTATTGGCTTTGGCCTGGCAGCCCTGGCTGTTATGACCATTTGGGGAATGAACCAGCAGATGGAACTAACTCTCTCTCTCTCTCTCTCTCTCTCTCTCTCTCTCTTGCTGTCTTTGTCTCTGTGTCACACTGCCTTTCATATAGATAAGTAAATAAATCTTTAAAAAAGAAAGATTTCTTGGAACCTAATTATGACATAGGACTGTAGAGTTATTATACCTCTGAGGCAGTGAACATGTATTGCTATTCTTTCCAGCCTAAAGAAAATTGCATCCTGTGGGCCTCATGGACAGAGATGGAGAAAAGAGCATTTGTCAAGTAATATCTGCATAATAGGTATAAGAGGATGTGTTAATTTGCTCAAGCAATGAAACCAAATATGCTATGGCAGCTGCAATTGGAGTCATCACTTGGTTAAGCTTACAGTAATCCACTGTCATTCTTCAAGATCCACCTGTTTTCTGTACAAGCCAAATAGGAGAGTTGAATGGGGATGTGATCAGAATCACCATCTCTGCATCTTTCATGGTCTTAGTGGTGGACTCTGAAATTGCTCCAGGAATGCAGTATTACTTTTGCTTTACTATTTTCCTGGGCAGCTGAAGTTCTAGTCATTTCCACGTGGCTAGCCAAGAATTACTCCACAGATCAGGGAACCAGTGTGGTTATTTTGCCAGCTAAAAAGTCTATCAATTCCAATTATGCATTTTAGAACTGGGAAATAACCACAGGATGGGTGCGGGGTTCCACTGGGCCACTGTGAGATAGACCTGAGCTGAAACTCTATTGATCACTTGATCTGCCTAACCCCTTATTCTGACTGAAGGGCCACAGAGATGTTCTGGGTCTCCTGGAATCAGTGTCAGTTAAAGGTCAGTATTCAATAGTCTTCAGAAGTTCTGGTTATTTAATTTTTACACTTACCCTGTTTTAATGTCTTGGGTCTCTTAGGTGAAAACTAGAACAAAGATTAACAATAAATAATTGGGGTAATATACCAGGGTGTTTTAGAGGGAACCCTGCCTCTCTTATTCAAGGGGCTCTGGTTTTGTAAAACCTCTCAGATCTGGGAATTGATTGAGGGGCTCTGACTCTCTGTTTCACCATTCCAGTTAGATTTTTGTTCACTTGACTTGAAAATTTTCTGTTATACAAATCAGGTAAAAACATAGTAAATTTCCTATCCTGCACTTTTGGGAACACCATGATTAACTAGGAAACACCATAGGTTTGCATGGGTCAGACTATTCTAATTGCTTCTTTGGCCCTGCTATCCATCACAGTAACAATGTCCACCTTTCCTTGAGTGCTTCCATTTGGCCCCTGGCACTCTGAATACAATTACTCATATGGCATTTAGGTTTTCCAGTTGAGTGGCTGCAGTTCCCACTATAAAGCCTGGTCTGCAGAGAAGGTTGATTACAGAGGTCTTCAAAGATTCTGGGACTCTCCTCATAAATTTATTTCTCAAAGTATTGGTGAAAGGTATGTCTTCTGGGCCTTCTCAGTGTGGGTAAATATGTCTTAAATAATAAATCTACTCTGACATTCTAATCTCTCTAAGTCTTTGAATCCCTTTCTCTACATTAAACTAAGGTAACCAATCAGCCACACACTGTAGAGCTCTTTCTGACTCCCAAGATGCACTATTAAAGCTTTGAATCTTGGCTTTAGTGAGCCCATATCAATAAATTTGACCTGACCCAACTTTATTTTCCTAACACCATTGTCCTACATATTAAACATCCATCTCTTCACATGTTCCTAATATTTCTGCTTATATAAATTAGAAAACTCAAGTATTTCTTCTGGAATGCAGTGTGCCCCCTCATGGGTCACATTTTAGAAATCACTTTCAGGGACATGCTGAACTTGAGTCCAATTATTGATCTAGAAGCAAAGATGGGTGCTAGGGATGGATCTTGAGGAGAATCTTGCATAATGGCTCAGGGAAGGCCATTACCGTTTCCTTGGGCAGTTGCGGAAATTATTTAATCTTCTCGGATGGAGGCAGAAGGGTTCACATGCTGTGAGTGGGGGTGGACTAACATGAGGGGTTGGGAAAATACCACTGCTGATGTTGAGGAGACCACTTCTACAGGGGATAAGATGTCTTCCACTGGCAAAGAAGACTAATCACAATTTAGGGACTCAATTTCCCTAGTTTTAACAAGCTTTTTCCAGGCCAGCGCTGCGGCTCACCAGGCTAATCCTCCACCTTGCGGCGCCGGCACACCAGGTTCCAGTGCCGGTCGGGGCCCCGGATTTTGTCCTGGTTGCCCCTCTTCCAGGCCAGCTCTCTGCTGTGGCCAGGAAGTGCAGTGGAGGATGGCCCAAGTACTTGGGCCCCGCACCCCATGGGAGACCAGGATAAGTACCTGGCTCCTGCCATCGGATCAGCGCAGTGCACCGGCCGCAGCGCGCCGGCCACGGTGGCCATTGGAGGGTGAACCAACAGCAGAGGAGGACCTTTCTCTCTGTCTCTCTCTCTCACTGTCCACTCTGCCTGTCAAAAAAAAAAAAAAAAAAAAAAAGATTTTTCCATACAACCTAACCCCAGCTTACAGGATCCTATTGTTTACTAATGAATGCCTTTATTTATTTATTTGAAAGGCAGAGAGACAGAGGGAAAAGCAGAGACATTCAGAGATCTTCCATCCACTAGTTTATTCCCCAGTTGCACACAATGGCCAAGTTTGGGCCTGAAACTCAATCCAGTTCTCTTACATAGGTGGCAAGAGCCCAGGCACTTTAGCCATCATCATTTGCTACCTCCCAGGGTTAATGTCTTCACTTCAACCATAGAATTATTGCAATTCAGCCTATCATAGGATGAGACTTTGCATATGATTTTCAGCAATTTTAGCCTTGTGGTTACTTTAGGGAACACACAGAAACTCTTAGGTCATTTATGCAGCACTCAAAGAATGTATTTGAATCCCTAAGTTAATAATTTTTAAAAACATCATTATGCCCAATGACATTAAGAGCAATCATTCAACATAATTTTATTTCTCAGATTTTTTAGAAGATTTATCTATTTATTTGAAAGGCAGAGCCACAGAGGGCAGAGGCAGAGAGAGAGAGAGAGAGAGAGAGAGAAAGAGAGAGAGAGAAAATGGGAGAGAGGTCTTCCATCTGTTGGTTCACTCCCCAATGGCCGCAATGGCTGGGACTGCGCTGATCTGAAGCCAGTATCTTCTTCCCGGTCTCTCACGCAGGTGCAGGGACCCAAGCACCTGGGTCATCTTCCACATCCTCCCCTCCCCCATGCCCAGGCCATAGCAAAGAGCTAGATCGGAAGTGGAGCAGCTGGGACTCTAGCTGGGGCCTACATGGGATGCTGGCATTGCAGGTGGTGGCCTCACACCCACTATGCCACAGTGCCAGGCTCTATTTTTTAGTTTTCCAAAAATGTTCAGAAGGATCACATATAGAGTCACTGATATCCTTACTCTTTTTTTTTTTTTTTTTTTTTTGACAGGCAGAGTGGATAGTGAGAGAGAGACAGAGAGAAAGGTCTTCCTTTTGCCGTTGGTTCACCCTCCAATGGCTGCCACGGCTGGCACGCTGCGGCCGGCGTACCGTGCTGATCCGAAGGCAGGAGCCAGGTGCTTCTCCTGGTCTCCTATGGGGTGCAGGGCCCAAGCACTTGGGCCATCCTCCACTGCCTTCCCGGGCCACAGCAGAGAGCTGGCCTGGAAGAGGGGCAACCGGGACAGAATCCGGCGCCCTGACCGGGACTGGAACCTGGTGTGCTGGCGCCGCTAGGTGGAGGATTAGCCTATTGAGCCACGGCTCCGGCCAATATTCTTATTCTTTATAAGTGATTGGTTAGAGGTATCCAATGCAGATATTTGATATATCTCTGTAAATAGTGCATGCCATGGACTATCAGTGTTATCTTTAGTACTGGAAATAGTCATTACCATTTTTAATCAGATTAGAAAGCTTGTTCCAGAAATTCAAGAAACTAATTTTAAAACTCACCCTTAAAATTTTATACCTTTAGAACCACTCATGGTCCAAAATCTGTATTATTGAAGAGTTCTCCAGAGAAACAGAAGTAATTATATATAACTTGGAATTAGTTCATATGATTATGGAGGCTAAGAAGTCCCACCATCTTCTGTTTGCAAGCTGGATAACTAAGGAAAATCCGTGACACAATTCAGTTCAAGACCTGAGAACAAGAGATCTGATGACACAACTCAATCTGAGTCCAAAGGTAAGAGAACTGGGGTTGTGGGTGGAGGGTGGTGGCTGGTGTTAATCCTGGAGTCTGAAGGCCCGGGAACAGAAGTGCAGATTAATAAGTCAAATGCTAATATCTTTTGGAAACATTCACACAGACACACCCCAGAAATAATCTTTTGCCAGCTATCTGGGCATCTCTTAGCCCAGTTACTTGACACATTAAAATTAACCATCTAATTACTTATATAATTTCCCAGATGATGACGCTTGCACAAGTTTATTCCCAAATACATAGAACCATCAGTAATGCATGGAAAATATTTTTTTCTCTCTCCATTCCCCCTTTTCATCTCTCTCTCTTTTACTCTGCTCTTCAAGTAAATAAAAACAAGTAAATACTTGTAAAAATACACAGAGTCTTCTCTCAGTGATTTATCTCTGGCCCTCCCATACAATGTAATTCTCTCATGATGAAACCAGGAGGAATTGTAAGGGGGAAGACAGTTTCTTCCTCCACCAAACTCCCAGGCTGATGGTCGAAGATCCCATAAAGTGTTCACTGTAGAAAATGGGAGTGGAGAATCTAGAGGGCAGCAAACTGAAGCACAGAGCAATTGCTGAGGTGACCAGGACTTCCCGGGCTGATGACAGCTAAGATGAGGAGGCAGGATCAAACACGAGAAGGACAGAAAGGAAGTTTAACCACAATTGTCCATGAGCCGGGAAGCCCTGTGCATTGTTTCTAGTGCTTTGTAAATACTCAGTGAATGTGAAGTGTAACTGTCCATAGACTGGCTACTAACAAGAAAGTTCCTAAATATGTATAAACCTCAACGAATCTTCCATAACTGCATTGCTAGGTCATTTTTACATTTCTGCTGAACTGCTACAAGGTTTGCATTAAAGGCACGTTAAAACATGTATTAAAAGATACATTGTAATGCTAATGTGTCTACAGTACACATTAATACATGTCTTTAAAGACATGTCAGTTTCTTTCGCTCTTTCAATACATGTTCACACACATACACATTGAAATTCCCTTTTGTATATATAAGGCACATTAACATTAATTAGAAGCAGCTATGCATACATCAAGCTGTCACAAAGTTTATATGCACTTAATGGCACATTAGTTATATCTAGGTATATTTCTCTATAATGTAATGCATATCCATATACATTTCCATATATAATTCTATCATCCATCATAAGTTTCTGGCTTCCCACAAGAAATGACTGGTGTTATTTTGTGAGCACTACAAAGACAAAAATTTTATTTCTTTAAATTGTATTCAGTACAGAGCCTGTGAATTGGAGTGCTATAACTTAAAATATCTTTGCCTTCTTAAAAATATCAAATTGCCTTTGATATTTGCATCATACCATATTATTGTTGAACAAAAACTAATCTACACTTTCATTTTGTGGAGATATGCTCTATAGATGTGATGCATGAGACATTTTCTTCCTTAGTTCTTAAAAATAATAGTGTGAATAAATGGATTCTTTTTTACTTAGAAATGGGATTATCAAAGGGGTATAGTATTTCCAGAATGGATACTATAGTTGTGGTAGGAAGCTTCTGTATCTTATTTCCAGTGAGGCCACAAGAGAAAATGATTGTAGCGGGAAGTTGTGGTTTAGGCTTTAAAATGCCTTTGCTGTGAGGTAGCATAAAAGGAATGGGCCATTAAAGGAATTTGTGTATTCTCTTTTTTGATGTTTCAGAAAGGCAATCAGTTATCTTAGGTTAAGTCACTCAGTCTATTCCACAGCCCATTCTAAGAAGAAATGGCACCCATCTTCTGTGAGGTGATAATGAGTCCAGGTAACAAGTTTTATTTCACCATGACCTCAATACTACTTTCCTTCCTCCACCCACAACATGTGGTTGGTTGGGCCAGGGACTGTTTGTTTATTTATTTATTTATTTCTTATTTTTATTTTTGACAGGCAGAGTGGACAGTGAGAGAGAGAGACAGAGAGAAAGGTCCTCCTCTGCTGTTGGTTCACCCTCCAATGGCCACCGCGGCCGGCGCGCTGCGGCCAGCACACCGCACTGATCTGAAGGCAGGAGCCAGGTGCTTCTCCTGGTCTCCCATGGGGTGCAGGGCCCAAGTACTTGGGCCATTCTCCACTTCACTCCCTGGCCACAACAGAGAGCCAGCCTGGAAGAGGGGCAACCAGGACAGAATCTGGCACCCCAACTGGGACTAGAACCCGGTGTGCCGGCGCCGCAAGGCAGAGGATTAGCCTAGTGAGCCACGGCGCCGGCCGGGACTGTTGTTTTAATGAAAGGAATCCAATCAGAAAGTTGGTCAGAGGTACCATCAACCTTGCATTTAAATATGAACTTGACCTCTGAGATACTCAGCAGACTCATAGAATGGCAGATGTCCTAAATAGCACTCTGGCCTCAGAATCAGCCCTAAAGGCATTCGGATCTGGCTGAAAAGCCCATGAGAGTATTTCAGGCATGGAAAGCCAAGACACTCTGGCAAAAGATCTCTGTGAGTGAGATCTCAGTGGAAAGAACAGGTCTTCAAAGAAGGAGGTACCTTTCTCTGAAGGGAGGAGAGAACCTCCACTTTGACTATGACCTTGTCTAAACAAGATAAGAATCGGAGAACTCAGAGGGCTTCCATAGCCTTGGAAACTCATGACTGGAGCATAGGGAGATTACTGATGCCATAGACAGGAGTGTCAATTGGTAAAGTCAACAACAGGAGTCACTGTGCACTTACTCCTCATGTAGGATCTCTGTCCTTAATGTGCTGTGCATTGAGATTTAATGCTATAACGAGTACTCAAACAATATATTTCACTTTGTGTTTCTATGGGGGTGCAAACTGTTGAAATCTCTACTTAATGCATACTAAACTGATCCTCTGTAAAAAAAAAAAAAAAAAAAGAAATTATCAACTCCCAACTTGACTCTCACTGGGATTAAACATGACAATAGGTCTGATCTGATTTCATCATCATTTAAGAAAAATCATCTATTATTTTTCACTTTATGTTTCTGTGTGGGAGCAAACTGTTGAAATCCTTACTTAATGTATACTAAGCTGATCTTCTGTATATTAAGATAATCGAAAATGAATCTTGATGTGAATGGAAGGGGAGAGGGAGTGGGAAAGGGGAGGGTTGTGGGTGGGAGGGACGGTATGGGGGGGAAGCCATTGTAATCCATAAATCGTACTTTGGAAATTTATATTCATTAAATAAAAGTTAAAAAAAAATATGAACTTGACCTCCTCAATTTATTTTTTCAAGAAAGTACTAGAGAATATTCTTATTTTAATAATGAGAGTTGAAGGTAGAAGTAAACAATGAGGAGGGGTAGTAACCAGCCATTTGCTAAAAACAGGGGAAAAAAAAGTATAAGAATATGAGTAAGCTGAGGAAATGAGAGCTAAAGAGAGATTGAACAGATGCAGGAGAAAGTTGGGAGTGCTCATGTGACTAATGAGAGAGCTATTTTAATTCATGATGGCTTTCCAAACCATGCGCCAAACTCTACACCTCCATTTTTTTTCTGTAGGAAATTGAGTCTTTTTGTTAATTATATGATTCTGGCTGCAAGTGAAGAAAATCCAACTGAAGGCAGTTTATACTAGTGATATTTATTTTTTCACATAACATGAAGTCTGAAGACCTAGATGGCTTCAGGATCGTTCAATGGTATCATCAGGGGTATAGTTCATTTATTTTTTTTAAAAGATTTATTTATGTATTGGAAAGTCAGAGTTACACAAAGAGAAGGAGAGGCAGAGAGAGAGAGAGAGAGAGAGAAAGATCTTCCATCTGTTGGTTCACTCCCCAGTTGGCTGCAATGGCCATAGATGTGCTGATCTGAAGCCAGGAGCCAGGAGCCTCCTCCAGGTCTCCCACGTAGGTGCAGGGGCCCCAGGGCTTGGGCCATCCTCCACTGCTTTCCCAGGCCATATCAGAGAGCCATATGAGAGGTGGAGCAGCTGGATCATGAGCTGGTGCTCATATGGGATGCCGGCACAGCAGGCGGTAGCTTTACCCACTAAACCAAAGGGCCGGTCCCACAGTGTCATTATATACCTTTTCTATTTGATATATTCAACATTTTGGCTTTTTAAAAAAATTTATATATTTATATAAATATATATGTTTTATATATTTATGTATTTACTTATATATTTATTTCAAATGCAGACTTACATTATATTTTGTATATTTATATATAATATATAATTTAGTATCAAGAATGATACTAAATGATAATAAATTACATATATATTTTATATATTTATATATTTATTTCAAATGCAGACTTACAGAGAGAGAAGAAGAATCAGAGAGAGATAGAGATTTTCTATCTACTGGTTCATTCTCCAGATGGCCACAATGGCCAGCGATGGACCAGGCAGAAGCCAGGAGCCAGGAGATTCATCTGGGTCTCCCACATTGGTGGCAGGGGCCCAAACACTTTGGTCATCCTCCACTGCTTTTCCCATCCGTTAGCAGGGAGCTGGCTTGGAAGCAGAGTAGCAGGGACACAAATTGGTGCCCATATGAGATGCTACCCTCACAGGCAGCAGCTTTATCTGCTTCACCGTGAATGTTGGCCCCAACATTTTGGCTTTTGACTAAGGCATATTTCTTCATGGATGTCATGCGCCTTTAGCAGCTCCATTATCAGCTTTATCTTCTTGGAGATATATCTCTTACAATCTCCTGACTTGTGCCAATATGAGCTGGTTTTTCGCCTTAGTCCTGTGGCTTTCCTGTCATCCTGAGGTTCTTCATGCTAGAGCTAGTTCTTTTTCTTATGGTGAATCCCTTGCTTTTGGATTTCTTGTTTTCAAGTTTCTTTTTTTTTTCTTTATTTTGATGGAGTGCATCCTCCAATAGTTTTCTGAGATAGGGTATATGGAAGGTAAATGTTTTGAATAGTTGAAAACATATTTGATCCTTATATTTTATTGATAGGATTGGTATAGATTGTTATTCCACTCAGAAGTCTGATGCATTGCTCTACAACCTCTCTACTTCTAATGCTACTGTAGAAAAATCTGATGCCATTGTGGTTCTTGATCCTTAATAAGTAATATAACTGCCCAACCTTTAATTTTTGAAATTTCATAGTATATATCTTTTAGTAATTTCATCCTGCAATAAGGATCATAAATAGAGTGGCTTATAAACAGCTTAAATGTTGTCTCACAGTGCTGAAGATTGAAAAGTCCAAGATCAAGGCAGCATCAGACTCAACATCTGGTAAAGGTGTTCAGGCTCCTAGACAGTGCCTTCTACCTCTGTTGGGTGGTAGAAAAGGTGAGCTAGCTCACTGGGCTGTCTAGTGAGATGAGTGGACTAATCTCATTTATGAGGGTAAAATGAAAATGACCTAGGAATCTCCCAAGGTTCCATTTACTCATATTATATCCTTGGTGCCTAGGTAAATGTATGAATGGAGGGTGCAGGTGAACATAAAATTTAGACCACAGAAGTGCCTTAGTGTGGATCTATTTTTATTCATGTGTTTGGTACTCAGTAGATGGAATTTTATGATCTACAGCACTGGAAATTTTTAAAAAATTGATTATATTCTTTTTTCCATGGTTTCTTTATGATTTTTCATTATGTTTTCTAGAAATTCCATTATTTCAATACTAAGTCTTTTTTGTTACAATATTTGCTTTCCTACATCCACATTTTCCCATTCTTTTTGTTCTATTTTTGGGGAGAGATTCATCAGATTTATCTTCCAGTCTTTTCATTGAAAATTTTTTATTTTTGATAGCTCTTTTCTTTTCTTTCAAATTCTCTCCTATCCTTTTTATAAAAATAGAAACTTATTTTATTTTATGGATGCAATGAAGACATTGATTTCCCTGAAGTTTTCTTCTCCCTGTGTCATAACTGTATTCACAGTTGCTTTTCTATATGTCTTTTGGACTGTGCCCATTGTGTTAGAGCTTCTCTTAAATGATTAAATGTTAGAGCCTCTCTTATAATCCTTTAAGAGAGGAATCCTTAATAACATGACCTTTAATTTTTTTTCTTGGACAGGACAGATTATCAGGAGAAGACTCTCCAGTCTCCTTCCTGGTAGGTATAATTCTGGCAGCCAACATTTTGGAAATCCCACTTAGAGAAGAGGGCTGGGGATCTCAATATTGAGAATATAGAATTTTACTCAGGCTCCTCATTCTTGATACTAAATTCTTGTCCTCAATTTTGCTTGGTGCTCCCTAAGCCTTTTAGAGCAAAATTCATCATTGTGGGGAGGGGTAATGATTATATTTTCAGAGGAGATTTGGAGATGCTTTTTATTTATTAAAAAAAAAAACACTTAGGGGTGGGCATTTGACTTAGTAGTTAAGACACCCATTAAAACACCAAACTTCTAAATCAGAGTGGTTGGGTTCAATAACCCTCCCTACACCTGACTTCAGCTTCCTGCTAATGTGAATCTTGGGAGGCAGTGGTGATGACTCAAGTAACTCAATTTTTGCCACTTCTGTGGGACACTTGGACTAAATGCCCAGCTCATGTCTTCATCCTCAGCCAGGGGCCCTTGAGGGCATTTACAAAATGAACCAATGAATGGGAACTCTCTTTCCTTCTTTGCCTCTCAAACAACAACAATAAAAACTTTAAAAATCCTTTTGTTTTAGCCCTGGTCTATATTCTTGTGGCCAATTTCCACTTCCTGAGACTTTTAAGCATGCTCGTGAAATGGTGTTCTTTCTTAGACTTTTCCATGATGGCTGACATTCAACTTGGTTCTGCAAGTCAGTTCCTACTTGTCTGTATGCTTTCTAGCTTAAAAACAAATTGTTTGGCCGGCGCCATGGCTCACTAGGCTAATCCTCCGCCTTGCAGCGCCGGCACACCGGCTGCAGCGCGCCGGCTGCAGCGGCCATTGGAGGGTGAACCAACGGCAAAAAGAAGACCTTTCTCTCTGTCTCTCTCTCTCACTGTCCACTCTGCCTGTCAAAAAACAAAACAAAACAAAAACAAAACAAATTGTTGATATCCTCTCTCATATTTTCCTGTTCTTACAATTTATGCCTTAAAGGAAATTTCTTTACTGTCTTTTTAGTGGAGCTTTAGAAGGAACTGGTGTTGAATACAAGCATTTTATCTTCTAACTTTATTGTGAAACCCCGTGGATATCTCTTTTTAAGAAAAACATTTTCCCAGAAGTTTCCTCACTAGACTTATTGAATTGAAAAACAAACTGCATGTTTTCCTTCAGCTTTCTCACACCACAACAATGAATGAAGAAGACTCTAGTGAACTCAAAAGAAGTGGAGATTTCTTCCCAAAACCAAGCAAGCAATCAATTCTGCAGTAGACACCAGCTGGGTCAATTCAGTTCTGACATTGTCTACCTGAATTGAAGGCTCCCTCCTGTTTTAGATTCCAAATTGCATGTCCTAGGTTTTCACCTGTGCTGCTGACCACCCATTAATTAGGGTTTGAACAACTCTGTCTTTTTGGATTCAATTAATTTTCTGGAGTGGCTCACAGAATTTAGGGAAATACTTACATTTATCAGTCTAATAAAAAAGATACTATAAAGATGAAGAAATTCACAAAGAAAGGTATCAGGCAAGGGGTACAGAGCTCCCATGCCCTCTCTGGACATTCCACTGTGCAGGAACCTCCATGTGTTCAGTCTTCTGGAAAGCTCTCTGAACCTTGTCTTGTGGGTTTTTGTGGAGAATTCATTGCATAGTTATGATTGAAATGGGCTACCACACAGAAATGTGATTGGGCGAAATGGTATATTCTTATGCTACTACTATGCTGAATAGGGGAAACCAGCTGTTAAGATTGTTTCACATTCTTTCTTTGTGAGTATGGGGCAAGACCCCTTTTTAAATGAGGATCTTGTCTTCTACTATCAAAGAATGTTATAGACTTTTCTACGGCCAGCTCTGAGACTGAAAGGCAGTGGAAGATCAGAGTTTCTATGACCCACCTTGAGGAAGACAAATTCTGGTTTCTTGGGGAGGGAGTTATGAACCAGGCACCATCAACAAAAACACATTTATATCATAATGTCACACATACTTTCCCATGTCATTAACCAGGAGGAGTATATGTTAATACCTAAGTCAATCACTGGCAGAGAGAATTAGATAATAACTTTGATTGGCTTGGACAAATTTCTGTTCACTCCTAGCTGTGAGAAGGACTGCATAACTCTGCAGAGGGGAGCTAGAAAGTGATCTTTGAAATATTGGACAGTGGGTACAGATGGACACCAACCAGTCAGAATGGGCACAGCAAAGTAAACCTGTGAATACCCAAGTGAAATTTGATTCCACTAGCAAGGAAGAAGACTGGGAAAGGATTTGTATAGGCCACCAATGGTGGCTGCAAAAGTTTTGTTTCCTAGCCCTGAACAGCAATTATAGAAGACAAAGTACAAAATTGCTTTGCCAAAGGGAAAAAATTACCTCATAAACATCATTCCAGCCTGTATTTATTTTTGTCCAAAACAGAATTGCCCTATTTAATAAATCTTTTCTTAGAGCAGTTTACCAATCTGAACTGAACATCACTGAAGTGAGCCAGAGTACACACACATTACAGAGTTGAAGGTAGTTTCTAATTCTGGCACAACAGAAGGTTACTCCAGAATTTTTAAGAGTGAACTTTCAGAGAAAGATTCTGCCTCAATGGTATTTGTTGTTAATTGGCTTTATCTCACTTGTCGGCTTTTGATTGATGATGACTGGCTGAAGGGCTGGAATGAGTAGAACTATGAGGCTGAGTTAGGATCAACTGGAAAGAACTCTAGGTTCACTCAGCAATGTGTGCTGAATGTGTGCACTGGCATGGGGTGGCTAGTAGCACTTGGGCCATGTATTTCCTCCCTTCTTTCAGGTCATTCCTGAGGCTCCATGGAGTCATCAGAACTGGAGGCTTCCAGGTTGCAAACTGCACCTAAGACAAGGAGAAAACCTTTCTTCCTTCTCATTTTAGGAAGAGGAATATTGCTGCAGAATTCTCAGGGAGTTTGCTAACACCAGGATCTAAAGCAGAAGGAAGTTTTGAGCTTTACATCTAAGAAGAAAGCTAGAAGATAAAAGCCAAAGATGTTTAGGTTATTCTGAAAAAAATAAAACATACGAGAGAAATAGATTTCCAGAGGTCTGGAGTTTGGTTTTGCTAGCTTTGTTTCCTGGTGGTAATTACTAGTCAAACAACTTGTGGGCTTTGGATCATCAAATGTTATCATGAGTAGGGAGAACAACTATTCTTGAGCAATGTGATTTCATGGGACCTGGTGAGAACTGACCTTTATTGTAAAAGAGGAAGGCAGATTGGATGTCTGATGTCTACTGTAGAGTATGTGAGGAACAGGCTGAGAAGCTGTGGGCTGAGTAATAGAAAAGTCTTCCTAGAGCTTTCCAAATATAGTGCCTTGAATGAGTACTATTAAAGGCCTTCCTATTATCTCAGAAAAATTCTTTGACTACCCTTTGGGTTGGGTACACTTAATTTTTTAACTGTTTTTCTAATGAGTAAATTAATTTCCAGAGAGGTAAAGTAACCCAAAGTACACAGCTACATAGAAGTTGATAAAGGATTAGAAACAGTTTCTCCTAACTTATAAACCATTGTTTTTCCCACTCTATCATAATACCATAGAGGCCTAAAACTTTCTGGTTTGAGGAGGCCTGGGAATATATTAGACAAAGGTGGGGGTGGGTGTGCAAGTGAAGATTAGAGCATGTAAAGTAGAGGGAACAGCCCTCAAAAGACCCCTGACTCTCATGGAGAGAGAAGTTTTTGAGAACAAAAAGCAGACCAGTAAGAGGGGAGCAAGAAAAGCAATGTACACGTTGGTATGAGATGAGGCTAAACATGCAGCAGAGGTCAGGTCATGAGCACTGAGAGCCAGTTTTCTACTTCTTTAGCTAGACCTTCTGACAGCCATGAGGAGATTCCATCCTAAATAGGATCAGCACACTCTCTTCTTTGGGCTTTTGCTAGCACCAAATAATTTGTCTTTGAGTCACTGGTTAGTGGATTGTCGCTCCCCCTCTTCATGGAGGAACGACACCAAACCCTGCCTAGGCTTCATATCCGAGGCACGGCACCATTATGTCGCTCCCCGTCTTCGTGGAGGAACGACACAGGACCCTGCGTTGTTCTTTTGTCTGCTCGGCCCTTCCTGGGTTTGCTGCTGGTTCTTCCCTGGTTGGCTACCGACCCTTCCACCTCCGTGGAAGGGCGGTTCCCCCTAGCCACTTTCCCCACTTCCACGGGGGAGCAGCACACCGCCGGCCGGCTCTCTCGGGGGCTGCACAGGTGTTCCTTCAGATAGATGTTCCTGGTGCATGCCGTCTCTCTCCTCCTTTATAGTCCTCCTCTGCCAATCCCAACTCGGCTGCCCACACGCCGAGTACGCTGCTCTCCTCCAATCAGGAGCAAGTCCTACAGTTTATTGGCTGAACTGGAGGCAGCTGTGTAGAAGCTGTTTTTCTCCTCTCCCAGCGCCATATTGTGGGAGAGCAGATGCATAGAATAAGTCTTAATTCCAGTAACTTAGTCTAGTCCGGGTTGCTCCCCACAGTGGATGATGTGGGGAAGATGACATAAAATTAGTTTAAGTACCTAAGTCTATTTGCATATCAGTCTCAGTATGAATAAATAATTTGTTCTTCACTTTCATATGCTATTTTTCAAATGAATACAGATGTTTTTCTAATGAATAAAACTCAAATACATTTTGACATACTCCTGAATTTCTAGGAGTTTTAGATATTTTGTATGTAATTCCTAATATCACTTGCCTCATCAGTCTATGACAACAAGTACAACTGCAACCCCTTTTGTTTCACAAATTATTGCGGTTTGAAAGTTTCCCCACTTGAAGCATCGTAGAGTTATTTCTGAGTCTTCCCGTGGGCATGGACTTGATCTCTAGGTTTCTTCCAACCTAAGCTTCTCATCTTGCCTCCATGTTGTAATCCCTGCTCTGATGCTCTGATGCTCCCTGATGGTGCTCATCCTGATGGTGCCAATCTATGTCCATTTCCACTGTTCATGGATCCACCAGTACCTTTCTTTATTCTCATTGCTCA